TAATGACTGCAGTCTCTGAGTCTCCAAAAATCCCAGAAAATTATTGTAGACATTGAGTTCTGCACAGTGTGCTGTAAACTATCCATTTATTGCATGGATAAAAGGAAACTAGGAATAACTCATCAGCATTTCTACCTGGATACAAATTAATCTGGTTCCCACTGGGCTGGGGAAGATATAGGTAGTCATTTTTGAGATTTGGCTACAGTCTTCTCTATAAATGCCTGAATGTCACAATCAACTAATCGTTTTGCAGTTTTGCCTTGTATGGTTTGCATCCATCTTAGAAGTAGAGAGCAAGGGATAGAAATTGTTAACTCCATCGTTCACCACACAGCACGCAGTAGGATTGTGTGCTCAGATTGAAGAGTGAGCTGTGCAGATTTAGAGGAGGAGGAAGATTTGCCAAGCATGGAGCTAGAGAAAGGAGGTCATGGCTAAAGCCACTTTTGGAATTAGAAGTGTCATAAAGACATTTCATATTTAATAATTTCCAAGGACTTGAGTTTGAAGGGTTGTGGATACCTGAATGGGTTTTTTTTTTAAAGAGGTCAATTAAAGAGCAATTGAACATTTCTTGGTAATCACATGTTTTGCAGTAGTTGCCTATTTACTGCAGAGCCCCCTGGATTTATAACTGCCAGGCTGCAATTTCTGCTTTGGTGATTACTTGGATTTTTCAATTGGCGGCCAGCATAGGGAAGGAAAAGAACCTCCAAACCCAGCTTGTTTCTGAAACCTCATGTTGGAGGTCCGGTGTGATACCTGGAGTCCTAGTCCTGTCTGAACTCTGATTGTCCTCTTGGAGAACATCTGGAAAATTGCTTAATATTGCATTTCCTGAGCAAGCTGCATTGGTAAAGATCCCAGAATCATCCGCTTACGTTTACCAAACAAAGAGACCTTGGACTGTAGGTTCATAGTTCCTTGAAGGTAGACAGGGCAGTGAAGAAAGCGTTTAGTACACTTGCCTTTATTGGTCAGTGCATTGAATGTGGGAGTTGGGAGGTCATGTTGCAGCTGTATAGGTCATTGGTTAGGCCACTTTTGGAATACTGTGTTCAATTCTGATCTCCCTGCTAAAGGCAAGATGTTGTGAAACTTGAAAGGGTGCAGAAAAGATTTACAAGGATCTTGCCAGGGATGGAGGGTTTGAGCTATAGGGAGAGGCTGAATAGGCTGGGGTTATTTTCCCTGGAGCGTCAGTGGCTGAGGGATGACCTTATAGAGGTTTATAAAATCACGAGGCGCATGGATAGAGTGAATAGCCGAGGTCTTTTTCCCTGGGTTGGGGAGTCCAAAACTAGAGGGCATAGGTTTAAGGTGAGAGGGGAAAGATTTAAAAGGGATCTAAGAGACAACATTTTCATGCAGAGGGTGGTACGTGTATGGAATGAGCTGCCAGAGGAAGTGGCGCAGGCTGGTACAATTAAAACATTTAAAAGTCATCTGGATGGGTACATGAATGGGAATGGTTTAGAGGGGTATGGGACAAATGCTGGCAAAAAGGACTAGATTAATTTAGGATGTCTGATTGGCATGGACAGTTGGACCGAAGGGTCTGTTTCTGTGCTGTATAACTCTATGACTCTAGAGGTGACATCCATCCTTGTGTGCTAGAATATAAGACCACAGCTGTCTGCTCATTCTGTACCTTAGATGTTTTCACCTCACATATTAAGACTTACTGGCCAACATGTTTTTTCTTACCCCAAATAGAATTTCACCAGAGAAGAGGCCATTCAGCCCATTATGACTGCACCAGACATCAAAGATCTGACGATACTGATCCTGATTTGCAACTTGTGGCCTATAGCCTTGGAAGGTAATACAATGCAAATGAATATCCAAATACTGCTTAAATGTTGTGAGAATTTCTGACTCAGCCACCATTTTAGGCAGTGAGTTCTCGACTCCCATCATCATCTGGGTGAAAAACTTTCTCCTCAACACCCTCTCAGCCTTCTATTTCTTAAATTAAATCTATGCCCCCTGGTTATTGACCTCTCAATTAATGGAAAAAGTGCCTTCCTATCCATCCTATAAATGTCTCGTATAATCTTATACACCTCCATCTGGTCCCCTCCCTACCTTCACTGGTCCAAGGAAAACAACGCAGCTTAATCGATCTTTCCTCATAGCTCAGATCTTCTTATCCAAGTAGCATCCTGGTAAATCTCCTCTGCACCATCTCTAGTGCAATCACTTCTTTCCCATAATGGGATGACCAGAACCACAAACAATAGCTGTGGCCTAACCAGCATTTTGTGTAGATTTTCTGCAGAGGTGTGTGTGTGTGTGTGTGTGAGAGTGAGAGAGTGTTTTCGATTATTTAGAGAGGTAGATGTGTATACTTTCATATTCCACAATAAACATTTTAACCACTTTGAGTCTTCATTGAATAAATTTTGTTTCACAATTAATCAATAATTTTGTATTCATTAAAGACACCTGGTTGATGGATGCTTTCATTTCATATGATGCAGAAAGATTATAATAGGTCAAATCAGGAACTGAGTAAAACTTTATTTTGTACCCACAATGTAGTGGCACTAGAGAAGGACAGCGCATTCCTCCATTATCCAGTTGAAAACTAGAAAGGAAACAAGCTTTTGGGAGCTAAAAATAATTTTGACTTGCTCCTGGAGGACAAAGTGTGCACTTAGGGGCAATGTAACATATAAGGGTAATGGAAGATTTGTGGTCATGTGAAAAATTAAATAGTCATCTCTCTTCTATGGGTTAAAGTATAAATTGCCTCTGAAGAGAAAATACTGTTAAATGAATAGTGTTTTTAATTCATATGTTACAGTAAAAGTTTTAAAACATGAAATTTTGGTATTTAATTCTTTCAGTTGTTAAAGATCAAATTTCTAATAAAAATTATCAGATGCTACGGAGATCATAACAGCTTGAACGCATTATTAAGAGGGCATGAGCTTAAAGTAGCAATGGTGATATCCGCTTTGAATATCTTTGAGCTCCACTTATAGCATTTGATCTCGACTGAAGCAGAATTATACATTGCCACCTCTCACTCTCCATCCTTACATTCATAAATAACTGTGAGTACAGTGTTGACTTTGATCACTGAAATTTACGCAATTGAGATAGATTAACAAAGGAAAGAAAAGATAACTCAAATGGAGGAAGAAAAATTTTATTTCGCATGTGGATTTATAACCCTAGAAAGAATTATTGGGCCTTTATACTTTTCTCCCCTTTTCTCAGCTGCTCTTAAAGGCAATGATTTGGCTTTGTGCATCAGCAGCTTTCACTCAGCAGTGACTGGCTCATTATTCACATCTGACTTTTGGCAGCGAGCATCAGTAGATTGGGTGATTATTGGAGCCAACATACAATCTACAAATTATTCCAATCTGATGCCCACATGCTTACTTTGTAACAAGAATCTATAAGCAGTAGTTACGTCTGGAATTCCAGTTTATTTTCTTCCAGAAATCTTGATATTGAATGCAATATCACTACCCTGGCTTAGGCTGACTGAATCAATACAGAGCAGGGATCTGACACCTCCTCAGTCTTTACAAATGAGCTGAAGAAACTACAAACAAAATAACTCCTTATAATTCCTATCACATGGTGAAGTAAAGAACATCTGGGTATTTTAAAAAGTACTGAAGCAATTCTAGATTGAGTAGAAATGGGGAGAGAATTGATTTTGTGCCGGGAAAGAAATGTTAAACTTTCTGCCTGGAGCGGAATTTAGATTAATAAGAATATATCTTTTCTTCATACATCCTTGTGTTTGTATGGCTTTTCTCTGTTAAACTTGCTATGATAAAACATAGTTACTCAAATTTGAATGTGATATAAAGGTGAGTTGCAGGGATTTATTGCAACTCCATAATTCAACTGCTGCACATGTCTATTCTGACTCTACAGTGGTTATTGTAAGCTAAGAAATAATACATTGCGTGTAAGTAAATGACAAAAGATATATATGAGGAACTGTGTATAGTGCTTCATCAAATTCCAAATCCAGAGCTGAAAATTATGAATTTTGTGACAGGTTAAAACAGAAGTAAGTAATGAAAATAATTATTTTCTGTTTCTTTTTCTATATTGAATGCTGGATAGCATAGCTGGCCAAATACTTCAGTGAGACAGAGGGTCTTTTGATTTGAATCCTAAGAGATTCCAGCTTTTCATTGTCCTTTGCTTGCATGACCTTGGTTCAATTCCTACCAGCCCTTGGGTGGGGGGTGGGGTTTGGTTGATGCATCAAGATCAAATAACAGGGGCTATAGGGGCCTCTGTGTTTGGGTCGGGGTAGGGAAGAACTGGGGGCCCTGGGGGAGAAACAGCTCCTGGGTCCACTGATTTCAGTCCCTGCTCCTGGTCATGAGGTCATGGGTTTCTATCATGCAATAGACCTGCTCGTTATCTAAGAACGGTGTTTTTTCTGTAGATACGCAAAGTTGAGTGTTATCTACCACTAATCACTAGATAGGTCCAAGACAAAGCAAAGACAAAAAGGGCTTTGGTGACAGGGAAGTACCTCAAACAATCTTAAATACCACACACTGAAAGAGGTGCCAAATATCACAAGGTGTCAGCATTGGTCATTTAGGAAATGTCACAGAAAATGTAATTGTTGGAACCTTTTGGATATCACTGCTTTTAATATCACTTATTCTGAAGCATAAGTCTTGAATTTCTTGATTTGTTTTGATTCTACTTACTTCAGACAGTAGAACTCAGGCAAGTATAGCTCTGCAATCCTGGCTGCTCATTAGGTTCATTAGAGTCCATCAGAAAATGGGGCAGAACAGAACATGTTGCTGAACTATATCTGATACTGTCAGCTCCTACTGTCCCTAAAGGGAAATATTTCACTCCTGTATCTCAAATGGATTAGCAATTTTTGAATTACTATGCAATCATTTGTATTACCCAAAGAAAATGAATGAGCCCCAAAACTATGCAAATAGAGAATTTTTTTTTCAGTCTGTAACAGGGACATCAATCAGGCTTACCTCCAAGTAGGAAGTATGAACCAGTGAACAGCAGCATGTAGAGACCATTAGCCAAAGAGCTGACCAGCCCACAGATACCTCCAAGCACCAGAAGAACCAGACTGAGAGGGAGCAAAATGACAAACACTTTCTGCATAACTGAAAAGAAAAAGATAATTGTAAGCTGCCAGTTAGTGGCTCAGTTAAGAAATATTAAAAACTCAGTAAACTTAAGACAAGGGACAATGTACCAAAAATCTCACCAAAAATGGAACCATAAATACGGCTTATAAATCTGACAAAATAGTGAAGACACAAATTTTACTGACGTACTCCAGGGATTTCAGTGTCTGAGATATATTTGAATTAAGTACTGTGCCTTGTTCCAGCACCTCTCCTGACTGTTCCAAACCTGCCATCTAGTATTATAGATTTCTCAGAAAAACTTTAGGGAAGGAACATATTTGCTTTAAAAATCCATACATTAAGTTAAAAAAAATGGAAATTAATTTTAAGAGGTCTCTTCAACCATATGAGGTCATGTTTGCTGCAGTGGGCTGTTTCAAACCCTATTGAACGGTATCTTAGTCGGGAATTACAACTGGGAGACTTTTAGAACACATATAGCCCTGGGCAATGCAATGGATCCTTGAAAGGTGAAAAATGGTGTCTAATGCCCCAACAGGCACAAGTGGAAGCTATTTGAATTAATAGGCACGACATGTGAAAAGCTGGTTGTCACAGCTAAAAGACAATGTTTGGGTTTAGCTCAAAAATGATTTAATCATCCATCTTAGTTGGAAAGATGATATATCAGTCTGGAACACACACGTTTTCAAGACGAAACTATAAACTTACAGTTATCTTAGGCGGCACGTATCCAAGAAGGTGGCTTTTACAAACCACACACTGAGGGGAGGTGTGACCGAGGGAAAAAGGTAATGCTGCCTGGCCTGCTGTGCTTCTCCAGCTCCATACTGTGTTATCGCTGACTCCAGCATCTGCAGTTCTTGCTATCTCTGAATAAGAAACCAAATACTGCTCTATTGAAGGAAAGTCAAGCTGAACGTGTTGAAAACACAGAACTGATAAGGAATGAGTAAACCTTCTCTCCCTTCCAATTTCTGAGGAACCTGCCTGTACAGGAAAACACCAAAGATTCAACTATAGAAGACATCTCAGCTGCTGGATCAGATTTCAATGTTGACCTCTTTGCTTTACCAATGAAGATCTCAAACAACAGGCCTTAATGGTATATCTTAGAGAGAAATTGGGGCTTCTTTCTTATATTCTTTCCTCATATCTCTAATTATTTTAATCTGGGTATCTATAATTTCTTGCCAATGACTTAATCTCTTTTATCCCTAAAGAACCCTCAGTGACAAATTGTAATAAAATAACCATTAACCTATTTGAAAGAAAGTCTGACTTTGACTTGAACCATTACAGCTTAAAAGAAGGCTGCAAGTGCTATAGAATAGAACAGAATGCCTATGGTGTGGAAACAGGCCCTTCGACCCAACGAGTCCACACCAACCCTCAGAGCATTTCCCCAGACCCATCCCCCTATAACCCACCTAATCTACTCATCCCTGAAACACTATGGGCAATTTATCATAACCAATCCACCTAGCTTGCACATCTTTGGACTGTGGGAGGAAACCAGAGCACCCGGATGAAACCCACTCAGACATAGGGAGAATGTGCAAACTCCACACAGACAGTCACCCAAGGGTGGAATCAAACTCAGGTTCCTGGTGCTGTGAGGCAGCAGTGCTAACCACTGAGCCACCGTGCCACCCATAACCTGCAGCTCATTGATCACATTGTGGTTATGCCTGGTGGTCATGACGCTGGCTGATTTTCTTTATTGTGTGAATCAGGATTGAGTGAGACTGTCCCAAACTAGGAAGAAAAGAGAATTGTAACTAAACAGCATGATTGAATTAAATATCTTTAGTGCATGTGGCAGATAATTTTGAAATTTTGTGAAATCAAGGCAAGATCTACAAAGATAGTAGGAACTGCAGATGCTGGAGAATCTGAAATAACAAGGTGTAGAGCTGAATGAACACAGCAGGCCAAGCA